TATATAATTTAACCAACCACACTAATATTTAGATTTTAAAACAAGTTAGAAACCATGGTCAAATGAGAACTGAACAAAGCATATTTGTTTGAAAATATAATTCGCTGTAGATTCCCATTCTTGCACTTTATTTTTGTATTATTGTGTTTATGCAGACTGGTAAAAGCATTATGCATTTCGCTGAGGCGGAGTCAGAAAAAGTATATTTTTAATGGAACAGTTTATTTAAAGTTTAGACAAAATATAAAAGGAAATCTATAAAAAGAAAAAGGTGTGTAATGTTGTTCGAATGTGTTTTATGTTTTGTAGCATATTTAATACATCAGGGTTTTTCTATAGAGAGGAGCTCATATACACAAAGATGTAAAAACACATCAGCTTTATTTAGAGGCTCAAACTAAACTAAACTGTGCAGTTTGGTGCAGATGTTATTTATATATGGCCAAAGAGAAAGATGAAATTAATTCATATTATCAATATTTTTAACAGTACAGACTACTTAGCCTACATAAAATGCATAAATATCGGGTGTCACTCTATATCTGCCAGTAATAAGTTTTAGATTATATCAAAGCTCTGTAGTTTTAATTGTGTGGGGGGCAATACATGTAATTCAATCCAATACAATAATGACTGAGAGATGAACAAATAGCCAACTTGTTCCTCAAAAGCCTGTTTATCTGATGCATACAATTTTCTAAAAAAAAAAAAAAAAAAAAAACAATAACAAAAAATTTATTTAATTTATTCAAAATTTAAAAATGTATTTATCCGCTTTAATTCAGATTCAGTTATACAAAATAGCAACAAAATATTTAACACTGGAAAAGATATGGCAAACAGTACAAATGTAAACAGTACACTCAAAACAGTAAGAAGACAAAGTCCACTCACTGACTACACTGCCTAACACACTCACTCACTCACACACACACACACTCACACACACACACACACACACAGACACACACGAAGAAGAAGAAGAAATAAAGAAAATGATGTATGGATAATCATGTTGCTTCAGTACAGCAAGTGTTCATCTTAAAATATTACTAACAATATAAAAGTTATTCTTATGTTTACTTTATAAAAAATAAAAAAAAAGGCAAAAAGACACGTGTACCTCGACCTGAAAGGGGCGTTTTTAGAAGCTTGCTAAAAACAAATGTGAATTATCAATTAGAGGGAGAATTTTCATTAAAGTTTTGATCAAAGATGCAATTGAGTGACATCACTCGGCCGCGACACGGCGGACTCGCATCCTGGTGCCACGTCTGAACCGACGCTGTTGGCAGGCAACTAAGGGACTGACAGCCGTCTCAGCCAATTAGCGTGGGCTAGATCAGGGCGCGGGCTGTTTTCTCGCCCAATAGCACACGTTGTGGGCGGCTTTTAAATGACAGCGTTTCAGAACGAGGAACTAAACCGCTGTTGGCAGCACTACCGGAGACATGTGTGGTGAGTATGGCCATCAAAACTACGCTTTTATTTCATATTTACGCTGATAATATACGAGCCGTTTGCTTAAATTACACGCGGCATAGAATAAAGGCACGTGGACTGAAGTGCTGAGACAGAAAAGCCGTTGGAGAGAAAGTCAACTAGCATTTAGCATCGGACAGAGGCTGTGTCCTAAACCCCTCAGGAGTGCGTCGCCTGCCTGTAGCTAACGCTAGACAGCTGTTTGGGCATCAGATTGAATCTGCGACCGCGGTTGTGATGCTAAAAACGTGTTCTAGATAGTTATGACCTTAATGTTTCTTATAGTTAAAGGTCTACGGTTCTTGTTGGTTTTATTCTTTATTCAAACCATACAGATTATGCGTCGCTCGAAATCCTAATGCTTCTTAGCGCACTGTGTGATCTTGTTAGACAAGATACATATTGGTCACCATAGTGTTTAATAATTAAACCTCAAGCATTGCATTATCTGGAGATGATCAGGCCTCTTTTTCCAGTTGAACAGGTCACATAACTTCATTTACAAATGAGCACGCCTCGAATTCAGGTTTGGTTTGGTGGTCAACGCCTAAGAGAAACACTACAGCTTATGTTACAGATGAATACATTGTGCTTTTAACAACTCTGTGGAGAAGGGCTCGGATGTCCTTTGTCTCTGGTAGAGTGAGAGAGAATGGCCAGCTGGAAGCTCTTTTCCCAAAGGTTTCTTCTTCTTCTGATAAGCTAGATCTGTCTGACCTCTTCTTAAGATAAACAAGACATTCAGGAGTTTGCAGACAACCTTGACGAAAGGCAGGGATTGTTCTTTTTGATCTGTAGACTAGAGTTTTGGATTAGATTTGTGTTAACAGGGTCAGAAATAGAAAACAGAATTTCCTTGCACTTTTCGGGGAAATAAGAGTTCAGTGTATCATACGCTAAAAGGTCATGTACATATAAGTTGCATACTGCATGGATGCTTTCTTTGTATGCGGAAGTAAGAAAGGTACAGCGACAAACTCCTATTTAATTCTATGAGTCAGAGAAACAAAAAACTGTAATGGAGAAACTAATTTTACATTTTTGATCCATTGACTTTTTTAGTAACTAAAGGGGAAATGTACTGTTACACGTTTAATGTCCCTCGCTCTCTTTTTTTAAATCAATAGTTCATGTTCTTTGGAAAAGCAAAGTCGTCAAACTACTAAGTTTGGGATCGGTGAGATTTTTTTTATTTTTGAAACAAATCAATAATTTTCTTTTTCCAGTAAGGATGCATTACATTTATCAGTAATGGCTGTAATAATGTAACACAATTCTATTTCAAATAAATGCTGTTCTTTTGACGTTTCTATTCATCAAAGATTCTTCAAGAAATCACAGTTTCCAGAAAAACATTAAGCTGCACAATTGTTTTTACATAATAATGAGAAATGTTTATCAAATCAGCATATTAGAATGATTTCTGAAGGATCATGTGACAGTAGAGACTAGTAAAAAGACTAAAAATTCAGCTTTGATGGATCATGTGACTGAAGACTGGAGTAATGATGCTGGAAATTCAGCTTTTTGATTACATTTTAAAATGCATTAAAAACCGAAAACAGCTATTTTAAGTTGTAATAATATTTCACAATATTGGTGTTTTTACTGCTATCAAATTCTTCAGTCTTGGTGAACATAAGACTCGATTCTTTCAAAAATAAATAAATAAAACCGACCACAAACTGCTGAACGCTAGGGTACATGTATGTTTAAAGGACATATTTTTTTCATGGATTTAGGCTCGGTTTTTTTTTTTTTTTTTTTTTTTTTTTAAAAAAAAAAAAAAAAAAAAAACGTGGGCTGATGAAGCTATATTGCTTACAATGTATTGAATACAATGTATTCATCTATATTGTATATCCATCCTTCCTTCGTTTTAAATAGTCATCTGCCTAATAAAGCAGAGCCTTGTTTGACTACCACACACACACACACACACACAGTATGCAGTGCCCACAGCCAGACCACTGAATGGCGCTTCTGTGACGTTTCTGTCCTTTCATAGTGCTGTACTTGGAGTGCATTTATCCCCTATGAAGATACAGACATTTAAACCAGTCGTTTTCTTTATTTAGACTTTCCTTATCCTACTGTTCACAGTTTTTGCTGAGCTGATTTCCTCCCTATCATTGATTTTGTTCTGACTGCTCTGTGTATATCCACACGGATGGATGTTTCTTTCCATTAGGCTTCTTAATTTTCTAAATGGCATCCATAGTATGCAATGTGTGTGTAGAGTGGCATATTTCTAGTGCGTATCCTCCCTCAGTGGTTACTTAAGGATGTCAAACCGGTTGTGTCTGCTTTACCAGGCTTGCTTATCAGAACTGAGGCGTCACTCTTTGCTTTTGTTGGCTATTTATCTAGCTGCTACTTCATCAGGGTGAATCTTTCGCTTTCTTTACTGTTTGTTTGCTGTGCTGTTTTTAGAGACGCTGCAGTTTTCCAAGGAATAGGCTTACATGCTGATGTCTTGCATTTGTATCAAACCTTGATGAAGACTTACACATTGAAATATGTTGGATATTTTTAATAATACAGATGTAATATAAATTGTATGTAAATTTCAGCTCCAGTTTCTCTCACCTGAGTTTTTGTTGTCCAAAGTTTAAAGTCTCAGAACGTTTCAAGAAATGGAAGCAGCATCAGATCTTTTCACATATCGTGATCCAACTGTTTTTTTGTTTTTTTTTCCCCCAAATTGTTTGATCTGAATGCAATTTTGCAGTTGATTTATAAGAGAGGAATCTGTTGTTTTGAGTTCTATTTCAAATGAAAATTACAAGGGCAAAAAATTTAATGTGCATTAAATCATTCACAAGAAAATAGTTCCTAAATGCATGTAGTTTAAGTAAAGTTAATCTTTTTTGGGGTTTCATAGGTTAATATTTTTTATATAACACCCACTGTGAGTCATCATTCATCAGTCATCTTTTTTTTTTTGTAACCGGTCTTATCGTATCAGCCATTCAGCCATTTAAAAACTCCTATTACTCAACCTGTACATGACTTTGCATTTGGATACAAAACTCACTTGTTGCATTTTCACATTGCTGTCTAGATTAGTTAGTCACCTTAAGGCCCTTGAGGCTCATCTATTTGAAAACTGATATAACAGCTTTTATATCTGATGTCGTATTTTGTATAGCATTGGTAGTAGGGGTCGACCGATATGTGTTTTTCAGGTCCGATGCCGATACCGATGATGAAAGATCAAGTAGACCGATAACCGATATTTTGAACCGATATATATGTCTGGTGTAAAAATGAAAATTTATGTCAAAATTAAGAATAACAAGGGCTCTGACAAAAACTGCCTTTCCTGGTGTTGGTTGAGTGTAGTACTCCCACAGTAAACGCTTTATTTTAAAGAGTTAAACTCTTTATTTTTTGGCAAACAAAGGGTTTACCATTAAAATTAAAACATGGAAGAAATAGAGTATTGTGTGATTTATTATTTGAAACAAAAGTTGTAGTAATTGTTGTAGTAGTCAGGGGTTAAAGCAAAAAAAAAATTATTTTGACTGAAAATGTTTCCTCGGCCAAACCCCATTCCTCAGCCATACCTGTCACACACCCAGTTTAAGAGCAGTGTTTTTCTTCTTGTAATCAAGAGCGCTTGTCCTCCTAATTAAAAAAAAATAAGGAGCACCTTCTGATCAATAATCAAAAATTCTGATCAAAAATTAGCCTTCCTAATATGAGGTGAAGTGATTTACAGGGGCATTTTCTTTTTACCTTTGCAATGGCATCATTTTCATCTGTGTAATATATTTCTGATAATTTCATTAAGCTAACCCGAACTTATATTTTGACGGGTTGCCATGAGGAACTTGTTTCTGTAGGTCTATGTAAATGATATGAAGATAGTTTTACTCCAATGAAACTGTCAAATGCTCATGAAGTGACTCTTAGAGGGAGTCAGAGCAGTTCTGGAGATGTTGTTCATGTATTTATGTCCTCATGTAGTGAGATGACAGAAGCTGAAATCACCGCGAGTGTCGCACACTTTGTATGCGACGCTCTTGTTTTTTTGTGAAGAAAACAAAACCGCTCGTCTGTGCCATTTACATACACAGAGACACGCAGAACATGCTGGATTCATATTTACATAGTATTTTTGCGGCTTAATATTGACAGATACTAGTCCATCTTGCGACTCTGT